GCATAGGCTTCATTGGGGTCCTGACCATGGGGATAGTCGGACCATCTCAGGGGTTGATCAGGACTTGGACTTGGGCTTTGCTGACGGGGCTGGCAACTTGAAGATGATTGGGACTCATTGTCTTCATCATCATGCATTTGTGAGGCCCGTAGAAGTAATTGTTTGGCCATATCCTGTAGCTCAGCTTTAGATTTTCCTTCAAGAGAGATATTTGTTTGGGATGAGTGTGGAGAAGTAGACTCAGGCTCATGTTTAGGGAAATCAAGCTTAGGGAAGTCTCTGTAGATATATTCAACAATGCGGTGGACCTCAAAACAATCCCACCATTTAACATAAAATTGTCGGGAAAAAATTCGAGTTTCCCAATTGACATTGTAAGACCATTTCATAATCCAAGGAATCTTGTAACGAGTAAAGAAAAACAGGGGAATGGGAAAGAATAAATCACGTTCAGGGAGTTTAACTTTAGAGGAGAAGTAAGTAATAAGCTCAGTGATTTGGGGATGAAAAATTTCTGATTTGGGGCCATGTGTATCCCACCAGTGGAGAAACCAGTAGGGAAGCTCACAACGGAATTTACTGTCAAAGTTGATGAACCATGAATGTGTAAAATCAGGAGTTTGATGTAGAAAGATGTAATACCAAGACTCAACATAGTCAGCATAATTATATTGTAATTTAGATGGAAGGGTTCTTAGCTCATAAGGGTGTGCACCCCAACTTTTCTGACTCAATATTTGATAGATGTAGAGGGAGTGGTAGATGATTTTCTGAGGATCAGTTTTATCACGGATTGGCTTAATGTCAATAGATTTAGTCTCATGAAGTATTTCTTTATAGAATTTAAGAGACTTGTATGGGCTATGTGGAAGATAATGAAAACCAGGAGGAGCAACGTTTAAAAAGCTAAAAGTATGCGAGGAAAATCCAAGTGCAAAGAGTCCATGAACCCATCTAAGAAAGGACAGATGCCAAATAAGAGCGGTTAAAGTTCATGGGTATGTATTAAATAGAGATACACCATTAAGGGAAGTTTGGGAGACAACAAGTTTATGTGAAGCAAAAAACAAATTGAATATTACAAAGTCTATTTCAGACATTTAATCGACACATGGTGGGCATCAGTAGAGGGGCAAATTCTGGCCACCCCCAAAGGATTTTCTTGCAAGGAGAGGTGCAACTGCACCTCCTTGCTCATGTGTAGGTCCGTCAGTGACCCCAATGGCATCTTAGGTGTGTGTGTGTGAAAAACTACATTCTCTTATAGTATAGCATTGGTCGGCATTATGCTGCTAAGTAAATGGTTTTGTCATCTAAATACTAGGGGCGGGCACAGGCGTACAATACAGTTCAATTTAAAGCCTTTTGATATAAGAACAAAGCTTCTAAACCAACTTTGTCACTCAAGTAAGCTTTTAGAAACAAAAGAAAAAGGATAGCTGTGAATGTTGTTGGTAATTTGGGATGAGCCTAAACATTGGCCACACATAGGGGTCGCAATTGTTGACTTTGAGATATTTCAACAAACATCTTTGCCGCTATCATGCATAATTAGGTTGCTTACTGCCCAAAACGCATCCATGGTTATAAATCCAAACCTGGACTAAACCGGTGGAGACCACCCTCTGGTTTTTAATATCTCAAATCCAGGTTCTCCACTACAACTCTACAACTTGTATAATATATCCATGTATACATTTCTCTTTACAGCACACAACTTCATACTAATACAATTACTTGCAGATCACAATTTTGAAATCCATGTATACAATTACTTGCAAACGGTCATTTGTCTACAAGCCTAGTTGTGATTGCACTACATTCACAAGTTTGGGATTTATTCAGGGCTCGTTTTAAATCAGATGACTCACTAGATTAAAAGCATGTTAAAAGGACGAAATGAAGGGTACATGTGAATGATTTTTCATTTTTGAGATTACAAGGGATAAGTTACAAGGTGTTGATATCTTGTCATTTTCGGAATTGAATGTGATAATTTTTTTTGGAGTTGATATCTCTGGGTCTTCTTCTTCATCAATTTCTAACAAGATGCAGAGGTCACAGGAGCAGAAGGTGAGGAAAGTCATGGAGTTGAACTGCTGGGGTCCTAACACTACTAGGTTTTAGATTTTAGATTTTGAGTCTGTGGATGAATGTAATCCCTTTTTCCATGAATTACATGACTTCATTTCATTAATCTTTGATCCTTTTCGCTTCATTTTCTTTTTCTTTCCCCTGTTTGTATCCAAAAAAAGGGATTTGTTGTTGTTGTTGTTGTTGTCTTTTTGATGAAGCTGAGTGCCAAAGTTTTATAACTTGGGCCTAAAGAAATAAGATTAAATGCAGACTCACTAAATATATAAAATTAAAGGGAAATTTGCCATATTGGTTTTTTAATATTTCTGTTCTGTTTTGCATTTCCTTTTAATCAGTGCCTCATAATAATAATGTGGTAGAATTTTGGATGGTTTTTTTTTCTTGCACAAAGGATGTCAAAGGGAATAACAAATCAACAAATCCACAATTCCAAACAAAATTGGTTCAGATGCATCGGTCCCAATTTTAATAAATCAATTTTATTAACATCATAAAACAGGAGATCAAACAATTCCCAATCATGGATCAGCAAACATGGTCCTTGCGGATCGGATCATAGAAAAAACACTCTTTTCTGTTTATTTTTTCCAGTTCTATTGTTACCACGGACTTTACGCAATCGATCGGATCATATAGATATCCCTTCAACATGGCATAGGTCATTGAAAGTCGGACACCCGCCAAATCACGAAATATTAAAAGCTGATTTACGTTACTTACAGAGAGAAAGAATTGGCCTCCCTCAGGATTGGAAATTTTTCGTTTTTTTGGGTATACAGAACTGAAATTTTCTACCATGTGAAAAAAGTAATGCGGCAGGCTCACTATTATATGGCAGGATAGGGGTAGAAGGCGCAGAGTTTCTCTAACTTTTTCCAAGGCAACGACAAAACTAAGCGTTCCATGGGGCACATAGCACCAAGCAACCCCAAAATTTGTCTTTTTATAAACCATCGGCCCTTCCCCCTGATTGACACTCAGGTTTGAATTCCTCCCAGTGTTAACAGAAAAAAAAAAGGAATAGCCTGGCATTGTCAACAGGTTTAGTCCTGTAGAAAAGAGTCTTAACTTATAAATCATAGGTTTTATGTTCGACTTCAATCACTATCTGACACATGAATTTTTCAGAAAAGAGGCAACATTTGAAAGGCTAAAAGTATGTGAGGGAAATCCAAGTGCAATGAGTCCATGAACCCATCTAAGAAAGGACAAATGCCAAATAAGGGGGTTAAAGCTCATGGATTTGTATTAAATAGAGATACATCATTAAGGGAATTTTGGAAGACAACAAGTTTATGTGAAGCAGAAAAAAAAATTTGAATATTACAAAGTCTCTTTCAGGCATTTAATCGAACACATGGTAGGCACCAGTAGATGGGCAAATTCCAGCCAACCCAAAGAATTTTCCAGCGAGGGTCCTTGCTCATGTGTAGGTCCGCCAGTGACTCCAATGACATCTTCGTTGTGTGTGGGTAAGAAACTTCTGTATCCTGTAATTTAGCATCGGTCGGCATTATGCTGCAAAGTAAATGGTTTTGTCATCTAAATACTAGGGGCCGGCAGATTCGTGCAATACAGCTCAATTTAAAGCCTTTTGATAGAAGAACAAAGCTTCTAAACCAACTTGTCACTCAAGTAAGCTTTTAGAAACAAAAGAAAAAGGATAGCTGTGAATGTTGTTGGTAATTTGGGATGAGCCTAAACATTGGCCACACATAGGGGTCGCAATTGTTGACTTTGAGATATTTCAACAAACATCTTTGCCGCTATCATGCATAATTAGGTTGCTTACTGCCCAAAAGGCATCCACGGTTATAAATCCAAACCTGGACTAAACCGGTGGAGACCACCCTCTGGTTTTTAATATCTCAAATCCAGGTTCTCCACCACAACTCTACAACTTGTATAATATATCCATGTATACATTTCTCTTTACAGCACACAACTTCATACGAATACAATTACTTGCATATCACAATTTCGAAATCCATGTATACAATTACTTGCAAACGGTCATTTGTCTACAAGCCTAGTTGCGATTGCACTACATTCACAAGTTTGAGATTTATTCAGGGCTCGTTTTAGATCAGATGACTCACTAGATTAAAAGTATGTTAAAATGACGAAATAAATGGTACATGTGAATGATTTTTCATTTTTGGGATTATAAGGGAAAAGTTACAAGGTGTTGATATCTTGTCATTTTCGGAATTGAATGTGATAAGTTTTTTTGGTTTCATTATTAATTCATCTTCTACCTTCAATTTGGACAAAGTTGAACTATTTCTTCCTCACCATGTCTTAAATCTGATGAGTTTTCCAATCTAATTCCATCCTAAGCACCAAAACAAAGGAGTCCTAAAGTTTAAAGTTGGGCCTTAGAACTTATATAAAGCCAGAATCCTTTATAAATTTCAATGTGATTTTAAACTATAACTAGTGCGGCAATAACATAATAAGCTAAATGTAAAAAAAGGAATCCGGCCTTCTTGTCGGCTAGATGTCAAATAGATTCGTGAACCAAACTACTTGTGGTTTCTAATATTAGAAAAGTAAAAATGTTTATTATTGTTTTGTTGAAAAGGAAATGTATCTAATTTAAATTTTATATTCTTTTAATCACATGCTAGAACAACAGAAAAACCAGAGAATCCAGCGGATTTAGAAAAACCAGTGCCACAAATCTGGGAGCTAAAAAAACCTGCCAATTCAATCTCGGTTTCCCAGAAGGCCACTGCCCCACAAACCTTCCAGAAATGTTTTGTCCACCCAACTCTCTGGCTCTTCTCCGTATTTATAAACTAAATACAGACATCTGCTTTACCCAGAAGAGAAAGAACACCATTTCTTTACTGCTCTCTGATTTTGAGCAAAGAAAAGAGAAAGAGAGAGAAACAAAGCAAATGGGTGGTGAAATATGCAAGTTTGAGAAGGAATTGAAGTCCATGATGCAGCAGAAGACGAATGCTGCAGAGCCATCAGCTGCTGGTGGTGGTGGTGGTGGCAATGGGGCCAAAACCAGGTGGAGCAATATTGCTGCTGCTGGGGGTGTGAGCCAGGAAAATAGGATGACCCTTGATGATGAGAGAAGAAGAAGAAGAAGAAGAGACAAGGCTGAAAATTTGATTCAGCTAATCTGCTGGGGACCCAATTGAGGAAACTATTTCTTCTCTCTGTTTTGTTGATCAGGGGATAATTATGTGTAGGAAAGAAACTATCTTTCTTTTCCTGTTATGTTTTGTTCTTTCTAGTGATAGAATTTGTAGAAAAGATAGCATTACTAGTAACAGTATACAATATATACAACAAGAACTATTCGTTTATAAGTCATGTGGCCTTCATTTTTGTTACCAAGAAATTTTCATTTCCATAGTGTTTCATTTGTTTTCATTATGAGCTCATTTTGGACTATACTCCTTTGACCTTGTGTTCAAATGAATGAGACCAGAGGTATAAGGCTCAGCGTTCAAGTTTGAGGTTTAGGGAAATAGTTTCGACTAAGTTCGAATCCAAGGCTCGAGGCACAAGATCTACGATTGATACTTAAGGCTTGGGAATCGAGGTTTGAAGACATGACTCGAGTCCATGGTTAGGGTTCAAGCTCTATAATAGAACTCAAAGTTTTGAGTCCTATAATAGAGTTCGAGCTCTATAATAGAACTCGAAGTTTCGAGTCCTATAGTAGAGCTCGAAGTTTTGAGTAAACGGTTTAAGGACAAAGCTTGTGTTTTGGGCTTGAGGTCCAAGGGTGAAGGCCTAAAGTGCGGGCTCACGCTCAATGTTGTCTTCGTGGTTAGAATCCAGGGTTGGAGGCCCACGAACCAGTTTTCTTCTTTTTGTCCAATTTTTTTCCCTAGTGAGATCAAAACGATCAAACCTTATCTTTAATTTTTCGAGTCCCACTCAGCCACCGTTCGTTAGCCAACAACTCATACACACACACAAGTAATGTCATTATTCACCTAATCAATTCCTAACCTCCATACTAAATACACACCGACAACCTTAGCCAACCCTCCTAAATGCATTAAACAAACACCCCACCTAATTTCCACTCCATTTCTTAATTGCACTACAAAAAAAAACACACCTAATTTTCTTACCATCATTAAGAACCATACCCACCTCAACCGCAAATCTTAATTTCAATTGTTTCATTTTTTCAAAATAATAAACAAAAAGAAAATCTTACATTGCCTTTTGATTTTTTAACTGAAATGAAGCAAGTGTTTGTTTGTCTTTTTTTTTTCGTGACAAAGTGAAATTTTAATTACTCTTTCTTTTTTGGTTGAGAAATTCTAGAATTATATTCATAATCCAGTCAAAAAAGTCATTAATTACAAAGGGCCAATACAAACTAGTCACAAAAGGTCATTACAATAACGGAGTGGTCTAACATCAAAATTATGACAATCTGGTGCACCTCCACTAATGATCACACATGATTGAAGAAACTCTAGCATAAGCATCCCAATCAGTGTTTTCAAAGGAATTCTTCTGCGCACGTCGAAGCGAGGCAACATGTACCTGAGGCGGTCGGTTGTTTCGCAAGTTGCACGTTTAGCAAGGTGAAGTGTGAGGCGACGTGGCTAGGTGAAGTGAGGCGGCGTTGTGTAATATGAAAATGGATGTTCGAGGAAGAATAGTTCACGTGTTTTTTTTTCTTCTCAGGGTTATTGTAATGAAATGACGTCGTTTCAATTTTAGTGTTTTAAAAAACTTTAAATGAAACAACGTCATTTCACTTTTAAGTGTTTTGAAAAAAAATTAAATGCAACTTCCTGTTTTTTTTTCCCTTACCTTTTTTTAAATAAAATTAAGGTAAGAGTATATTAGTATATTTCTTACCTTTTTTCTAACTCCAAGCGGCTATTGCCTTTATTCTACTTACCTTTTTTTTTCTTTCTAAATTAATATATTAACATATGGACATATATATATATTATAGTATAACCTTAATTTCTACCCTTATCATATAATCTCCATCAATTTCAAAAATTATCTTTATCTTTTTTTTTGTGTGAACAGAATTATCTTTATCTTTAGACTGCAAGTAAACCATTTTATTTTGGAAGATTCACTATTATACCAAATATGGGGGCCCAAATTATAAAAATACCCCACATAAAATTGACTTTAGAAACACACCCAAAACTCATTTACAACATAACAAAAAAGCTTTTAACTTCTTATAAATTACAAAACTGCCATCAATTTCATAAAACAAGCCCAACCCCAAAATCTCATAAAAATACCCAAAATACTTAATAGGGCATCAAAGTAATTTAATAATTAATATTAAATTCAATAAAACCAGCTGTCATTTTTTGGGTTTGTTTATAAAAATTCAATTGTGTAGGGTTTATTTATAATATTAGTGCTAGAAATGGGTATATCACTAAATATCTCTTTTATTTTTCTCTCTAATTCTTCGCAACTATAATTTGAAGTTCCGTATAATTTTTTTTTCTTTCAATATATTACTTATCTTATTTGTTTATATGATATAGTTGAAATTTAAGTGTTACGGTTCAATAAGAATTAGTTATACAATTTAATTGTATTGTATTATTTATAAATTTTTCTTATTAAAATAAATTAATGTTGAAAAGGTTTACTTCTCGCATAGTGTGACTAAAACACCTCGCATCAATGTCTTGCCTTTCAAAAGGAGAATAATAAAAAAGAGATAAACTTGAAAAAACTAAGACATAACAATACAAATAAAGCTCTCACAAAGGAGATATGAAAAGCTCTTACAAATAAGAGGTGAAAAGCTCTCACAAAAGGAGATGTGAAAATTACATAGAGAACCTAAAGAGTCTCTGTAACTTATTCCGAACATAAGGAAACTACAAAAAGGATGGTAGTGGAGATCTGAAGCCAAAATAGGTGGAGATTCGACGCCAATATGCGGCCGCCTGTGATGGTTAGATGAAAATTATAATAAAACGAAGACAAATAGGGAAAAAATTTTGTCTATGAAAATGAGGGAAGAAGAGAGGGAGGAAGAACTATGACTTTCTCCCCATTCAAAATGAAAACGGCTCTAGAAGGATTTTTTTGGAAGAAAGAAGGCTAGAATTTGGTATCTAATTACTGTAATATAAGGGGAGATAATCGAACTCGGTTGGACACACTACCTTTGAGTAATTGTGGAAATACACGTTTACAATGAAATGAGTGTTTTAATTATGAAAGTTTCAAACCTCGTATGTTTCAACGTTTTATTTTATTCTATTTTATGATTTTGTAATCTTATTGGAAATTAGTTTTGATTATTCCAAAATGAGTACAAAACGCGTCTCTTCCAAGTTCCAACGACAGAGATAGCACGAAACGACATATAGCAGGTCGTTTTAGAAAAATTCAGTCACAACAACTCATGAGTTCACAACTAAAAGAAAGCTCTCGTCACTGAGACCCGATCCGATTTATCCTTTTAAGCACGGCAGTCGCCAATCCGACACGTAGCTTCAATGCAGGAAAATGACACCTGAACTCACGAATAGGAAAGTCACACGTGTCAAAGCAAAGAAATTTCAGACTGAAGAGAGCCACAGCTGATCCCTCACTCACATCCGATTTATGTCGCACACCCTGGCACCTTCCACTCCAAAAAAATCACAGATAGACTGAGAGAGTGAGAGAGAGAAATTTCTAAAGCGACCAACCGAAAAACGCGAACTCAATCGCCGAGCTTCTTCAAAACGCTAATTGGATGCCACGTGTCTGATTCCGGTGAATAAAGCATGGCCATCGTGGAGAACCACCACCACCGGCACAAGTCCCACTCCGACGTGAAGCTCTTCGCTCTCTGCCCGTTTTGGCAGTCCGGGGGCCAAACGTCGTCGTCTTCCTCTTCCACGCAGAACCTCCAGGGCCACGTCGACGGATCCAAGTCGAAGCCCAAAACGGTGTCGTCCGTCGCCAGATCGCTTCTCCCTCCCCGCCGTCGGCTCCGGCTCGACCCCGCCAACAAACTCTACTTCCCTTGTACGTCGTCGTCTTTCTTTTCATTTCTACGCCCTCGCTGACTTCGAGCTTTTGGTCACTTCTATGACTTATTTTCAATTGGGTTTGGAATTTTGACTTTTCCTCGCTCTACCAGCATTATTTTAAAAGCGCTTCTTAAAAAAGCAATTATTTTATGACTTTTTTTTCCTCTTCACATGCTGCTGAGATAAGCGGTAACTTTTTTTTTCCTTTCCTTTTTTGGAATTATTTTGGACTGAAACTGACCAATTGTGTTTTTATGGGGTTTAATTTTGAAGATGAACCTGGGAAACAGGTGAAGAGCGCAATCCGGTTAAAGAACACTAGCAGGTCTCATGTAGCTTTCAAGGTATTTCCTAATTCCTGACATCAACGTAAAGCTATGTTCTTAATTATATATTGATTTTGATTACTTATATTCTAAGCAAGGATTTAGAATGCTGATAATATTTATTATATGGGTTGTGTTGTGACTGGTGTTGCATTTGTTCATATGGATTTTGATATGTGACCCATTAAACTGCTTTTCTTGTGCTGCTAGTTTCAAACTACTGCGCCAAAAAGCTGTTTTATGCGTCCTCCGGGAGGTATACTTGCTCCGGGAGAAAGCATAATTGCGACTGGTAATGGCCTTGCACTTGCTCTGATGTTACAGATTGTCTGACATACATTTAAACTTATTGTTCTTATCTTTTGTTTTTACTATGCTTTTGATGATGACAGTGTTTAGGTTTGTCGAACAACCCGAGAACAATGAGAAACATTTGGATCAGAAAACCAAGGTTAAGTTCAAGATTGTGAGTCTGAAGGTGACAGCAGGAACAGACTATGTGCCTGAGCTGGTAATATAGTGCTCTTCCCCCGACTTCATTCTCATGATCATGGCATGTTTAACATTTCTTGCATACGTTTTGGGTGTATTTGAGTGCTACTTTCCAATTGTTCTGATTATGTTTATGGTGTCTTGATTCAACTTAGTAGCTCGCTTATATTGGGGTTTGTTGGATATGATTGCAGTAAAATTTAGTGTTGTTTTCTTGCTCTTAGGAAAATACCAGCGATGACCTTAATTTTTTCAACTGGCTCTTTTTTCGTACAGTTTGATGAACAAAAGGATCAAGTGACTGTTGAGCGAATTTTGCGGGTTGTATTTTTGGATGCAGAGCACCCTAGTCCTGTATGTTGAATCTGATTTGTTTAATGATATTTGTGCGTCCATCTTGTAGATACTGCTTTTCCAGTAGTGACATTCTGGTTTACAGGCTCTGGAAAAACTGAAGAGACAGTTGGCTGAAGCTGAGGCTGCACTTGAAGTGCGTAAAAAACCTCCTGTGGACTCGGGCCCTCGTGATGTTGGGGAAGGCCTTGTAATAGATGAATGGGTAACAATACTGCCAACATTACATCTGATCCATACATGCACATACAATGGACTAAATTTCTTATGTGATGTTCTTGTGCATAATCTTTTGGTTTGTTCTGTTTTTCAGAAGGAGCGGAGGGAGAAATACTTGGCTCGGCAGCAAGTTGGAGCGGTAGATTCAGTATAAATTGTTATTAGCTTTTGCTGTAAGTGCTTTTGGCCTTAATGGAAATTTCTCATATTGTAATTTTGTATTCTTTTTGCTCATCAGTCTTTGGATAAATGGTAGGGGGGTAAGGTGAGGAAGTAACTGGCATTCAGAAATGTTATGGTGTAAACCAAAGTAACATGTTATTATGCCATTACTTATGTGATGGGTGGAGTTCTGATCATGGTACCTGGATCCACGCTGAGCTGCCCTCTTGTAGATAATGAGTTTTGTTTTAGGATGAAAATAAGTGACAAGCTCTATTGGTATGAGCGTGTTTGTTGTACTTGTAAATTTTCAATGTTGAGATGCCCTAGTGTTCTTTCTTCAAATTACCATTTCAACAGTAAGAGCTTTCATGAATTTTCCTGTAATTACCGGATTTTGGCTCTCTTCTCAGCTTGACGTTCATTTCTTTCTTGCCCATTTGTATGGTTGAATTGGTGAAAATCTCCACCCTAAATTGTTTTCGATAATTTCTGGATATGTCGCTGATTGTTCGAACCAAACCACTACGAAGGGATTCTACCAGTCTGAATTGGTTTGATTTTGATTCTGTTCAGTATCAATGAGAAAAGCAAATGAAAACAGCACACAAGTTGACCATCCTCATCTCTCAAGCCGAGAAATGGTGATTCAATTCATACAACCAAAGTCCAAATCTGAAAAAGAATGTTCATATATGAATGCAAATCTCTCGCATCTTCTAAATATCAAATCCCAGAAACAATAAAGAAAAACCCAAACTGAGAAAGAAAAAGAAATCAGTACTCTACAATGAACACATCCTGTACATAACCTACTGCAATCTTGGCCAGGCCGGCCAGCCCCGGAGTAACAACAACACGACAGACACAAGCTATTCAGTCCCTATAACCGTGTCAATTATCCGGCAGCTGAAAGTTCTGTGAACCAAAAATTTGATGGGAGGGGTTTTGAACAAAGAGGACCAGACCACACTTGGAGGGATTGAAGCCTTCCCACAAGGGGAAGTTGAGAGTCCCCGAAATGGTCTTCTTGGCATTGACGTCTTTGACAGTAGAGAGCTTTTCAAGTCTTCGGACAACAAAGTCACTGGACAGGACACGTCCTTGGTTCTCTCCCTTGGGGCAGTCTGTGATCAGCCCGTTTTCATAGAGCGCCACCATCACATTGGCACCATAACTATCCACCTTTGACCTTAAGGATCCTGTTAGAGATACTTGCAAGGAGTCTGGGGAGGGCCTTTCGAAAGTTGCCTGCTCATCCACAAAACATCCAATTACAAAAAATCATAGTTGGATAGCCGTGTAGTTGGGCATCATTATTTACAAGACGTCGAGAATTTCTCAGTCTAACAACGTAACATTTCATTTCAGATATCTGACATGTTTAGATTATTCATATCACGAAAATTTATAAATTTAAAAAGGCACTAGGTTTAGCTTTGAATTAAAGTCGTTACATTGAAACTTGACATCCCCCATTTCTCAAAGTGTCAAAAGTGAACATAGCTTTTAGGTGTACCAGAAAGTGGATGAGGCTCATTTTAAGAGAAAGGTTTAAGATGATTAAATAATGATGAAGATAGAGACATATTTATCTGATTGAGCCTATCACTTTTTTACACCACCACAATCACAAAAGCAAGGAAAAGTATGATCACATTATGTAAGTAATCATGTAAGTACTTGTGCAAATATATATAATTAAAACAAAAGAAAAAGAAAAGGCACCCAAATATTTTAAAATATATATATATATATATATATATTTAAAAAAAAAGAGAGAGGAGAAAGTACAGACCTGGAACGTCGGTGCAGTGTATCTAGGTGCATCCCTAATCGACGACAGCAAGGCACTCTCATCGTTGCCAACACACTGGGCCCTACCTTGAAGCACAATCTGGGGGGTGAACATGGTGTCCAGACCCAAGGCCTCCACATAGGCCTTCTGCCGTACAGTCCACTGGCTGGATCCAAATGGGTCCTTCCAGCCCATGTAGTCCCAGTAGTCCACGTGGTAGGCCAGGACCACAACAGGGGGCAGGTCCATCTCATTAAAATCCCCCCTCCCAAGCCTCGACACCAGCAGCTCGGCCACCGGCGAGGTGGTGCACCCCTGCGACGAGAACAGCTCCACCAGAACTGGCCCGCTCCGCCGCTGTTCCTCGGCAGTAATGTCCGCCGTCGCTCCCGCGTGCTTTTCGCGGGGCGTACCCTCGACCCCTTTTGATCCAAAGCAGGCGAAGAGACCACGTGCCATCAGTATATGTCGTGTCTCGTCGCCTAATTGGTGGTAGTAGTGGTGGCGGTGGTGGTAGTGGCGATGTTAATAGAAATTCAGCTAAAGAAAAGGGAGAGAAAAATAAAAAAAATGAGGAAATGTAGGTGTTTTGTATATGGAAATATAAAGGGAAGGAGAGATGTGTAATATTGGGGGGTGAGGGGTGGATGGTTGAGAGGGAAAGGCGGCGAAGAATATTTTCTAATTAACTATTGGGGGGAGGAGGACGGTGACAGGTGGCATGGTGTGGTGAGGGAGGAAACGTTGCGTTTCAGACAGGGTATGTGGTTGACACGTTGGTTGTCAGGATTGGGTTGAATGTCATTTTGGTTTGAGAAACAAATAATTTAACATATTAACTCCGTAACAGAGCAGTTCCACCAGCCCACATTACTACATATGAGTTGGGAGTTTGACAAGGAATCTTGACCATAAACTGTCTTTTTAGCGTGAGATTTGATCAACAACACATGTGTAAAACACAACACGTGACGAGAGAGATAGAGAAATGAATTGCATGAATTTGTGACAGTCAAGTTTTTCTCGTGTAGCATAAATTTTCTAGATACGTATGTATACGCTGTAATGTGGTTTTATTTGGGTATAGGATGCAGATGATCAAGGCCAGCTGGTGTTGAAAAAGTAACCAATTTTTGTGACCATGTAATTACAGGTTGGTCGGTGAGCAAAGTTGAAAACACAACCGAATTTTGGGGTGTTTTGATGATTTGATACAGGCTTGGAACGGCAGAATCGGACATGGATATTTTGTTTTCTAAAGCAGCCTCTGAATTTGAACCATTTTGTTCTCATGCTGACCACTAAGTTGGTAAGTATACTTGGAGATAAGAGGACAGATGAACTACAATATCTAGCAGGACTTTGGAAGATGCTTACTGCCACTGCCCACTGCATCTAAAAAAAATAAAACAATAAAATCAGTTGGAGATGCAGGGTATCGAACCCTGTACCTCTCGCATGCAAAGCGAGCGCTCTACCATTTGAGCTACATCCCCATATCTTGTTAGTTTTAACCGTTACTAATTATTTGAACGAATTTTATTTCTGCTATTAAAGGTCTGATGATAAAGCAACCTCATCAGTGGAATTGGACTTGGGAAAAATATATTTTTGATCAAATGATAATTTGCCCCATTGATAGGCCTTAGACCAAATAAAGTTTAACAAACCGCTGTGACCCAAAATAGTCCAAGACTAGTTTTGAAAACTCAGGCCAAGCTTGTTAGGCCTGGATTGGCCTGGCCTAACTCATTTTCCAGCCCAAGTTTTATAGTTGCACTGTGTTGGGTTACCAATTAACATACGAATGTTACTCTTACTACATTTGTATACCACATTCTCATACCACCTTATGTGGCAGATGAGATGGACAACCACATCAATTAAAATTAATTTAACATTTTCTTTTCTTTTATGATTTATTGACACTTTTTTAATCGATGTGGATGTCCACTTCATTTGCCATATAAAGTGGTGTGAAAATGTGGTATACAAATGTGATAAGAATAGCATTACTTTTAACATTATTGGCACATTAAGTTGATGTTCTAGTTTCTTGATGCTGAAAGTGATTACAAGTCTTGATGTTTAGACAAGTGGGTTTTCCCCAGCCAAATGAAAATGGGCAACAACCCAAAAAAAAAAACAGATAATTTGGATAATTCAATAATCGAGGTCTAAGCTAAACCCTAACTCAATTTTTGAAATCAATCAAACAATCCATTCCTGTGCAAAGTGGTTAGCTATGATGACAGGAAGACACAATTGCACCAGAGTTGTCTTCAAAAAAACTTGAAAGATGGTTTTGAATCACCAAAAAGTAACAATCTCATTAATGGTTGACTTGAATAATTGGCTTTAAGGTTTGCCTGCCACTGCCCACCAACAGACCTGCCAGCATACACCTTCTTGATTTCGTTTGTGGGAATTGCAACACTCTACTTTATTCTACAATACTTGCTTTGTGCTTTTGCAACACTCTACTCTACTTCCTTTGGAACTAAACCTAAATCAGAGCCTCAGCAAATCCAATTGGAAAAATTATTAGAAGGCAAAAAAAATAGACATGCTCTGCCTCAACAGATAAACACATTGATAGGTACCAAGGAGAAGAAAGGAAAATAAAGGGGAAAGAGGGAAACTAAAATAACAATTCTTCATTCAGATCCCAAAATGGCCAAGGGCCTCAAACTAAATACAGTGTGAGCTCACCAACAGTATTGCCTAGAGAACATTACACGTGTCTGTCCATGGGCTGCTAACAATAGGCCCACTAGTGAAGGATCCTAACATTCCACCCCCCTTAAAAGAATGCATGTCCTCAGGCCTCTTAACACCAATTAGCGGAAACCAATACCAACTTACTGGATACACAAGCTTGCACATGTTGGGAAGAAAGAACCTTTTTACTTGAACAATGAGCCATCTGCTCCCAAAAGAGAATCGCTTTGTTCAGTAACAAAAACACAATCACCACCATAATCCGAAGTAAACTGGGTTGTTCAAGAGAATCTGCAGTTATCAATCCTCCAGCTCCCTTCTTGCGATTTTGTCATAGATGTCAATCTTTGGTTTGCCTTTAGCTGATCCAGCAAACCATGCTTCAACCTTGGCTCGATTTTCCAGTCCCATTATGTTATCTTGGTCATCTCCAAGAGCATCATATCGAATTGCCAATGCAGTTTTGCTGCAAATGATTGGGATATTTTACCCTTGAGCTTTGGTACTGCTTGACCAATCAAGGATGCATGGTAGATAAGCCCATATTGTGGTGTTGCATGCTTAGGCTTTAGTGCTCTGAAGATGGCCTTTTTAGCTCCAAGAATCGGACTGTGCTCCCAGGCTGCTTTGCAAGGTTCAACAAGCTACCACCATGGGCAATGAGGTGAGCACCAACAAGCTCCCCAACAAGAGCAGTGAAATTTGGTGCAATGGTGTTCATCCTGTTTTTTAAAGAATCATATAACTGAGCTCTGTACTCAGAGAGGAAGAGAACTTGGTCACAGATTTCTTTGATGTTAACCAAATCAAACACGCTAACTTAAGTTCCCATGGATATCATAGCTGCTTCCTTCAATTTGACGGACAATTCTTCACCTTTGCAGACACCTCTTCCCTTCTGGGAGGAGAACGATCACTTGCATGGAAAGTATGAAGGATTTGGTCAAGCTCAATCCAACTTCTTCCTGGCTCCTTTATCACGGCCTTCTCTGTCATCAATTCCCTTACAATTCTTATATCCTCTCATCTCCCTAAAATTGAACCCCATATAGCGGCAGTTGGTGCTAAACGCAAATGCCACTTCAACTCGACCAGCATGCCCAAGAAGATCAACAACACACCCATAGTGCTCAAGCTCTGGCTCAATACCATTTCCCCCTGTTGCCATCTCATCCAACATAGCATAAATTTCAGCAAATTGAGGGTTTGAGAAATCCCAAGCTGTAAATTCATGCACAGCTCCATTTTGTTTTATTAGACTACATCCTGATTGCTTCCTCACTCCTATTTAATGCAACTCATTTCTTGCCCAGATCACATCATCCCACATGCCAGCTTTGGCATGTATATTTGAAAGAAGAGCATAAGCAGCATCATTGACTAAGCCATAGTGCTTGCTGGATCTTAGGAACAATACTGTAGACACTACGCATCTTGTTGAAGTATGTGTACCCTTCATTGACTAAGTCTCCATGGCTACAAGCAGATGGAAGAGCTACGAAAGTGACATGATCTGACTTTATTACTAGAGCTTCCATTTCTGAGTAGAGATCAACAGCTTTCCGGACTTGCCCTTCCATGGCATGTGCAGCTGTCATAGCAGCAAACACATTTTTTCCAGTCATCTCTGAGAATATTTCACAGGCTTCCTCAATGCTTCCACACTTTCCATACTTGTCAATCAAAGCATTTTTCAAGAACCCTTCAACAATCATTCCATATTCAACAAACAAATTGACCATAAAGAACCAATTGAGCTACAAAATACATCATTCAAATCTATATGCAACACTTTTTGCTTACCTAAGCCCAGCAAGAAAAGAATTCCTGTGAGGTATTATCTAGTGAGGCAAATGAGTGAAGCAAACGAGAGGATTAGTAAGTACCACATGTCATTGAATTATCCAGTGAGGCAATGGAGAGGAATTATAATCAGCAATCTTATATGGTGGCAGACGATCAAAATTTTGTCCATGGTTTTCATACTAAAAATAATTGTTACAATTTTCACCAGAATTGGCTGAAGTTGAACCATGACTGTGAAAGCCATCTTCAACTACAAGAATTTTTGTTTCACAGAATGTCAACATATTTCCCTTTGTTAAACATCATCAGAAAATGAAAATGTTCTGAAAAAATTTAGGCAATTTGGTATGATCTTCATTAAGATCTACACAATGATTACCGAAATAAATATACTATTAATAAGTATATGGATCCTATTTACTTTCCCTTTCAGTATTTTGAAAATTGCATTCCCTAGAATGTGAAGGTGATGCAAACATTGAGATATATGGGTCGATGTTATCTAAATTTGGAGACAGAACCATCCTTGAGTTTCCTTACAAAACTTAATTTATGAAAAATTACTTCCAGAAATCACAAGCTGCCATGTAGATTTCCATGGCATTGTCAGTTTTCCTAATTTTAAAACAAAGAAGGGTTTTCCAAAAATGAAACAAAGAAACCTCAACTTGCTGTGGAAAATTTTACAAACCTGCTTATGTGCGAAAAAGGGTGTTAAACCAGCAGTTCCTTAACTCTACTTATATGAAGCACTAACATGATTGCGACAAAAAACATTGAAAAGGTATAAAACAACACTGAGAACCAAAGAATTCAACGAATATGTGCATTTTCACTCACTCATTGACATTCAAGTAACATTGGTGACATATTACAGCCTAAACTTTCAGACCCAATAAAATAAAATTACAGCCTAAACGTGCAAAACATGGTCAGACATGCCTCTTCTTTCTCCAGCTATATAGAACTTCAATAACTTCATTAGAATCTAAGTTTCATTGGGTAAAGCTATTGGGTTTAGTATGTGAAAAGGTGTGTGACTTTCATTCAAATGTTGGAAGAAAGCAAGGCCATAATGGGTGCCTATGTTCTATCTCAATCTATATAAACATAAAAAAAATAAAGCAGTTTGCAGAATTCAAATACCCAATTTGGGAGTCAAAAGAAAATGGGAGGACTTCAAGAATCAAGGTACTAAGAACATGTTTAAGTTTGCATCTTTTTATACAAGATTCAAGGCCACAGTCTTGTTTGAGGCCTCAGAGTCCGATTTGAAGCTTGGACAACACCTTGACAAACATATACGTAATAATTTATAACACAGACTCGGTAATTTCATGGGAAGCCATCTTTACCTTCTTCGCATCAGTAATAACAAAATAGGCAAAGGGGCACTCCACTGTGTAAACCCATCCCCACGGAGCACCATCAACAAAGCAAGGAAACTCCATTTTTACACGAGGATGACGAGATTGAAGGGAAGTATCTCGCCGTCGTTGAAAATCATCACCGCGACCAATAACCGAATCCGGCAAAACCGAGTGGCCACCACCATGATCGAAAACATCTCTACGAAATGGAGTGAGCGACGTAGAGCACGTTTCATCCGAGGCACTAGATTGACGGAATCGCCTCCGATGTTAAACAAAAGAGCCCAGAATTTAAACATAAACGGTCCAAATCACAGATAGTGAGTTCAATAATATCAAAGTTACTAAAATATTTAAAAAAATCCAAATAGAAAGGTACCCATTAGTACCTGCTTGCTTGGAGGAAGTTGTCAGCCGCGCGAGATGGTATCATAAAATAAGGATAATTGCCAAAGCCCCACATCGGGAAAGTATGTCATCATACAAAGTTTTATAATGACTTGCAGAGCATTCTATATTGCTGAGCTTAGTAGCGTGGGTTTATAACTAAGCAGGGCATTAAAGTGATTGGTTGCTTGATTGAAACTTTCTTAGGTGAGGCATGGTGTGAGATGTTCACCTTTGACCTTGGTGGGTGAACTCGCATAAAGCACGCCCATTAACCTTGGGTTAGTAGGTCCCCCAACCACAAAGGTTGGGTAGCAAACCTCAAAATGAGAATTGCCTTGCCTCAGTGTGCTGCCTGAGATAGGACCCCTCATCACACAATCACTTTTTATATATATCATAAAATAAGGATAATTGCCAAAGTCCCACATCGGGAAAATATGTCATCATACAAAGGTTTATAATGACTTACATAACAATTCATATTGCCGAGCCTAGTAGCGTGGGCTTATAACTAAGCAGGGCATTAAAGTGATTGGTTGCTTGATTGAAACTTTCTTAGGTGAGGCATGGTGTGAGATGTTCACCTTTGACCTTCGTGGGTGAACTCGCACAAAGCACGCCCATTAACCTCAGGTTAGTAGGTCCCCCAACCGCAAAGGTTGGGTAGCAAACCTCAAAATGAGAATTGCCTTGCCTCAGTGTGCTGCCTGAGATAGGACCCCTCATCACACAATCACTTTTTATATTTATCATAAAATAAGGATAATTGCCAGAGTCCCACATCGGGAAAATATGTCATCATACAAAGGTTTATAATGACTTACATAACAATCCATATTGCCGGGCCTAGTAGCGTTGGCTTATAACTAAGCAGGGCATTAAAGTGATTGGTTGCTTGATTGGAACTTTCTTAGGTGAGGCATGGTGTGAGATGTTCACCTTTGACCTTGGTGGGTGAACTCGCACAAAGCACGCCCATTAACCTCGGGTTAGTAGGTCCCCCAACCACAAAGGTTGGGTAGCAAACCTCAAAATGAGAATTGCCTGCCTCAGTGTGCTGCCTGAGATAGGACCCCTCATCACACAATCACTTTTTATATATCCTCCTCCTAGTCTTGATCTTTAGAAATATCTGGATTGCTTATCCTCAGAAGGTAAAGATGACAATTCATGATTGATTGGATGGATATGTTCCGAGGAAAATGGAGAATTGCAGGTGGACACGTGGCAGAAACCCGATGACAAAGCCAGTCAAAAATAGATTCGGGACCAGAAACTGATGGCAATTTTTCATGACTCCCCTGCACCTCTAGTGCATTTGTCTGCTCACTTACCATACTGGTGGTGTAAGCTTGAGCCATTTGCTACAAGTCCACAAAGCGTTAGTTACTAATTTGGCATAATGCACAGCACAACTTGGTGGCCACAAACAAAGAATATCCACATATACGTGGCTGCCTCACTAGCACCAGCCCTTTTTTCCCAAGCTCAATATAAGCTGCACCACTACCACCTCTTTATCCACAACTTGGTCCAAAAAGCTCAATTTTCTTCATCACTCTTTCTATCAAGAAAAAATATTTGGTAAACTAGCTCTGCATCTTGGTAGCCATGCTAGAAGGCAAGGCAGTCATTGTTGAGACAGACATGCTTCAAACCATGCAGCAGGGTGCACTTGTCTTAGCATCGAAAGCCCTTGATGTCTTTGATGTCACTGAGGCCACTGAGATAGGCTGCTTCATTAAAAAGGTAATTAATTAGGGACTAATATGAATTAAGGTGTCGGCCTACGCATGTCTGTACTTCAAAATTTATCTGACAAGTGCTTGCTTATGAACAATATGCTATGTTTTGGAGACATGAATTAACTTTTTGGCTACTGATTTTGCTGTGTGTGTTTTTTTTTTTTTTTTTTTTTTTTTGGAATTTGACAAGACATATGGACCGGGATGGCAGTGCATTGTAGGAACAGATTTCGGTTCGTTTGTTACACATTGTCATGGCTGTTTCATCTATTTTTGCTTAGGCAACCTTGCAATTTTGCTCTTTAGGGGAGCTGCAGGTCCAGAAGCTGAGGCAAAGCAGCCCTGTGCAGCCTTGGAGGCAGTAAAAGCATGAAGTTCCTTCTTTTAAATTACTTTATGCTTTTCTTGTGTGCTGCCCTTATAGAATAGGCTAGATATCAAGACTGTAAGAAAAAATTCCAGGGTTTGGATTTTTAGATTCACCCATCCATCTGTTTATATTTTTCATGTTTCAAAGGACTGTATTTTGTATGGCATTATATTGCAGCCATTTGGGAGTTTCTTCTTAGCCAAAGCCATCTTTTAATCAGTGTGAGCAGCAATTGAGATGAAAAGGAAATGGAATAATTTCATGTGTAATTGTAGGCCACAAAATTTTGCACATGGGAAGTGCCCTGATAAGGAAATTAGAGCTCAATGTCTTGGCATGGATATAAACCAGAAAGTGTATGGGGCTGCGTGGATTTAAAAAAAAATTATAATTTGCAGATACCACAAAATTGAAACAAGTCAAGCAAATAAATATCACTTTGTAGCAAATCAAATCAAATCAAACCAAGCTCAAGTTTCCTTATCAGCCTTTTGTTTGTGTTGTGACTCAGTGGATCCTACAGTTTTTTGGAGCTTAAGTGAAAGACAGTACTAATTAACTGTTAAGTATGTAAGTTATTAGTGGAAATCTCAAAATAATGATAAAGATTTTTTACTCTTAAATATGTAATTTAGTGCATACAAAACTGAGACATCAATAACATACCGCTTTGGACTGATCTCAGTAATCAATAAAAAAAATCATCTTGATCATTTGGCTTTGGAGAAGTTAACAAAGCCGTATATAATCTCAGCCTGTCCTCTCCCAATGAAGAACACCTTGACAGAGGTCTCCTAGGCCTTATAAACGACAGCGAAGTGAGTGTTAACCGGTGCTTGTACCTCCTCCAAGCCAACTGAATTGCCACAGCAGCCCAAGTTCTCCAACCCGGTGAGTAGTACCTTGCACTTCTCTTAACCTTTTCGTTCACGAACGTGTACCGAAAATGTTGTGTCACATATTTCACATCGTCTGCTTCAAGGCTGAATGCCTCTGTGGTCTCAAGTGTGACTAGGGTTGAGGAGGATGGTGGCAGTCTTTCTATGAAGGGCCTTCTGAGGCACCATGACAAGAGCTCATCTCCACTGAAGTTTCCAGGGCCTAACATGCAGCAACTTTTCACACCATCTCTCAGAACTTGGCTGCTTTGAAGGTGACCCCTGACTACAAAAAGCATTCTTTGAACCGGGTCTCCCTCTCTGGTTATCTGTTTATGAAGCTCAAAAGCGTTACTGCTAAAATTGGAATTGCAGAATGAAAAATTATGTAGGACCAACTTTTCATACTTTCAACTACAATGTTCTTGTGCCATTTTAATATATAAATTATTTCAATTGATCAAGCAAATTAAATTTTCCTTTCCGAGATAAGAGTAGAACAAGAATCGAACTCTTGACATAGGTGTGGCCAAGTCCGCATATAAAACTATAACCCCCATAAATGCTGTCATAGTTAAAGCATAGTCTTATTAGTAACTCACTGTTTCTCCTTTGGGGAATATAAGAGACTTCACACGGTCACAAATATTCTCAAGAACCAGATCATCCATATGTTGGAACAATGGTACCTAAAACAAGTTTCAAAAATTAAGAAATTAGCTACAGCCAGCAAATTACTCAGGTAAACTTGGGCTAAATCATGCCCAATGCATTTATGGGATAAAATTCATTATTGGGCTAAAGTGAGTAGTTTGATAGTTGACCAAAAGGAAAAAGAAAAAGAGAGTGAAGGTGAAAAGGTTGATAGTGTGTGTACATACTTGTCTCACTAAATCCAAGCAGAGATGATACTTGATGTCCCTCCTGAGGCCCTCGGGGAGGTTCCTGATCATCTCACATTCGTCGACACCACGCATGGCTGCCCATCGCTGCCGCTCGTAGTTTCGCACCCGATGCCTAAACCCCTGAGGCAAGTGCCTCTTCCTCATCCACCACTCTATGTTCCTCATCTTCAATTGCATTGCTTGTTTCTTGGAAGTTGTCGCATGCAAAAACACCTGCATATATACATAGTATCCAAAAGATAGAAATGGAAACCAATTAACCACACAAATGTCGCATATTATGTTATCATACTATAAATCAAAATTATTAATTACACTAGCTATTTGAATGTACAGTCGTGATTTTCAATCTAACAACGTAACATGCTAAAGGTTGTAAAGTTGATTACCTTTATGTTTCCTATCAACATAGTGACCAAAAGGAGCCCACTGGTTAGAACAATGATGTTGAAAACAACCTCCAACCACTCAGTTGAGCTTTCCAAGTTCCCGAATGTGCTGCACAAAACAGCAAAGGGCAATATTAAAACAAAACCAAAATGAAAAACGAAGGGTGGCGATTGATTAATAATAATTAGGAGGTGAAGGAGAAGAGTGCCTGAGAGTCATTAGGCCCCAAAAGATGGGAAAAAGTATCTTTTCCAAGCGGCTATCATTTGTGACAAGCTGCACAGTCCATGAATAAGCTCCATAGTCGTAATGTTCGGCGTTGTCTAAGCATGTAGATCTTGCTCTTTTGTTGTCTGCCCATGCCAGTCTTGCTCTGTCTCTCAGTGGGTTTGTTGCTCCATAGTAAATAGGGTGTTTGCAAGATAATATTCTCAAGCTGCAGCCACTTATTTCTCTGCATTGCTCTTTCAGGCATTTCTCTGCCCTCTGGATCCCTAACAAGTACCAGCATGCTCCTGCAGCCTGCAAACATGATCAGGTTATAGAGATGGAGACACAGTTATTAAATCAACTGTTTGGTGCACAACTTAATTCTTCAAACAATGGCCAGGAAAAAAACAACATAATTTATTATTGGATTGCAAGACAATTAGCTAATGGTATTTCTCTTCCTAATTTCAAAAGATATTCCAAGTTTGAATCTCCTCCTCCGTTGAATTTTTTTTTTCTTCTTGATACAATCCATATTGAGGAAGGGAGAATCGAACCTAAGATCTCTTATGCAAAAGTAAATATTTTTAACACTCGAGCTACAAGTCCCTTACTTTCTCCGTTGATTTAGAAAAGTTGGAGGTTTAATTATGAAGAAGGTTAAAAGTATAGTTCTAGTAGTAGTGATCATCATCTCGGTCTTGGCAATGGAAACTGTTTCCCATCGCATGGATCGCGATTGGGGCCAATTCTTTGTGGTCTTATGTCATGACTTTGGTAACCCCATCAAGTCTCTTTTTCTCTTTATTGTCGGTTGCGCTGGACAACTTTTTTAACCCATCGAAAACCCTAGACGTAGCACAAGACTTTTAACTTGCATTGCATCGAAATTCCAAACACCCTTTTATATAAAAGCAGAATGTTATAAGTTATAAATGAACGATCTTTTGTTTTTCTTCCTAAAGTTAAGGAGGGTGAGAGGTTAGGGAAGTTGGCCAAGGTGGTATGTTCGCTTCTCATACACAATTGTCAATGCATTTTTTCATTACACTAGAATTTATTAACAATATAACATGTTAAACTATCTGACGAAATTTGAAGGATGTATATGAAAGAGGGATATATACTTACATGGGCAGCAACAAAATAAGCAATCAAGTTGAGTGCAATTCCCCACCAAACAGTTCCAAAGATGTAGCCAGAGAGATTTTGCATCCGACGCAAGAGGCAAACAGAGTGATAAATCTTTGGGAGATATTGGAAGAAAAACATCAAGAACACTGTCATCACTACGGTCACTGATCCTTTCTCCAATAGCGTAGGAATCACCACCCATAATATTATCTGAAAAAACAATACACATTCGTACAACAATGAAGAAAAAATCTCCTTTTCATGATATTCTCTATCGAGAAGGCCCAGCTACATGGTTCTGTTCTGTCATGATTAAAGAATAAATATTCATGTTCATCATGTGATGCATGAAACCTGACCCATTTGTCAACATTAATCATCTTTCAGAGAAACTTTTTATGCATACTATTATTTTTACAGGATGCGATCGTTTCTCCATAACTTTTGCGAATCTTTCTAAGTACTATATATATATATATACACACACACTTTCTAAATTCTTGAATATTTCAAAAAATATATATTTTTTTTTCTGTGTATGGCCCCAACCAACAGAATGTTTGTGAGTTTCAGGAAGACAATAATTATTCAAGTATCGAATAATCTGACCAATTGACGCAATCATACAAGTATATTAAGAAAATAAATCACTGAGAGTTATGAAATGACAAGTATAGCCTCAAAGTTTCAAAAACAGCTTTAAATAACTAATAGAGAAGATTATGGTAAAAAAAAACACACACACACACACACAAAGTGTAAATGCTACAGTTTTGTGTGGAAAATTCTAGTTATTTCTAGGAAACCTACTTCCTAGAGGATAAATTTAATTCTTTTGTCATCATCTTGCTCTTAGTTTAGTTAGCAGTACATGTACTTCTCTTCTCTTAAAGTTTGGAGATATTCCAAGTTCGAATTCCTTCCCCCATAAGCGCTCTTTTATTTACCTTACAAAAAAAAAAAAAAAAAAAAAAAAAAAAAAAAAAAAAAAAAACAGAGCAACAACAATAACAACAAAAAAGAGAGAAAAATAGACACAAAAAATATTACTTGCCACTCTTTATCTTGCCACCTTAGCAATCATATATGACTTATTAAGAAAAGACGTTAGATAAGTAAGTAGATCTGAGTGGCTTTATTTAGCCTGAGATATTTATCAATTGGGTGAACCAAAAGAAAATTTATAGGACCTCATTATTGCACCATATATGTAGAGACCTCCACAACCAAAATCTTACTGAGAAAGGAAAGGAGGATGTACATACATATATATGTGTATATATATATAAATTTTCAACTACACTTCCTTACTTTTCTCCTTATTTATAATGACGTACGCACAGTAGTATATATGTGAAAAAAAGATGGTCAGAAGTGAAAAGGAAAAACCCTTACTGTCTCCCTTTTCTAAAAATGAAGAGAGGACATGGCTACTTCACATGTTACACCTTTCCTCCCTGCAAAATATAGCATAAAAACAACTTCTGGCATGCATCTGTCACCTTTTCATTTCTCAATGCACTAGCAACTAGTAATTCTACAGCAAACCTTAAACGCACAAGGACCGCGTGATATAAAATGACAAAAAAATAGCTATAACAATTATAATAAAAGAAGGAAAACAAAAACAAAAAAATCATGCTTCGAACTTGATTAATCTAATTTATTACGAGCAGAATGATTCGAACTTGATTACAAA